AAAAATAAGTAGTAAAGTAAAGTAAAAATATCAGAAAAATCTACTTGAGTACAGTAACGAAGTATTTGTACTTCGTTACTTCCCATCTCTGAGCATCTGTTTGCTGTGTTTGTGATCTCCCCAACATCTCCTTATAACGATCTTCTCTGTGATTTATAAAGTCTTTCATAAATCCGTCTGTCTTAACATTCCTACATGTTGTTTAGGCAGCACTGTAACTGTTTTGAACGGGCCTGTTCTGGCCGAGGATAAAGACATCGGGCCAAATGCTGTGGTGAAATACCGACTGTTTGGACCCAGGGTTGACCTCTTCACTGTTGACCCCACCACTGGTAACCTTGTTTCTGTGCAGACTGTAACCTTGACGCCATACTGGAAAAGTCCAGCCAGGCTAACGCTCTGTGTCTCTCTCTCTCCAGGGGTCCTACTCGTGCGTGAAGGAGCAAAGTTGGATCGCGAAGCCTTTCAGGACCCACGAGTCGAGCTGATTCTGGTTGGGGAAGACATCGGGGGTTTAAATAGCAGCGTACCTCTGACCGTGACAATCCTGGATCAGAACGACAATCCTCCTGTCTTCAGTCCGTCCAGTTTTAGTGTGCGGCTGCCTGAAAACAGCCCAACCGGTGGGTAACTGAGACTTCTATGTCGATGACAGCTGTATTCGTTGTTAGCTAAGGCTAACTTGCTATGAACAGGAATGCCTGCCCTATTGATAACCTTTATATTTCGGTTACCTCCAGGCGTTGTGGTGACTCAGCTCTCCGCCACCGATGCAGACTCTGGCTCCAACGGTTGGCTGATGTACCGTCTGGAAAGCGGCGCTCAGGACCGCTTCGTGGTTGACCAGGTCTCTGGCGCCGTCCTGGTGGGCAACACGACGCTCGACAGAGAGGAGCGTGGGTCCTACCGCCTCGTTGTCATGGCAACTGACCGCGGCACGCCCCCTTTGTCCGGCACGGCCACCCTGACCGTTATCCTCGACGACGTCAATGACTCAAGACCGCGGTTTATAGAGCCTGTCACCATGATTAACGTCAACGAGTCGACCCCGCCGGGTGTGGTGGTAGCTACGCTCACTGCGGAAGACCCCGATCTCCATCCAAGGCTTGAGTACTACATCATCTCAGTGGAGGCAAAGGATGATGGGAACAATCCAGTGGTTGGCTTGCAGGACTCCTTCGGCATTGATCTACACACAGGTTAGACCTGGTTTAGCTTTTTCATCTAAACGCTGGCTTAAAATATGAGCTGTTGTAGCTGATGTGGAGGATTGTTGTGGGAGATCAGAAACGCTGAACTGTTTTGGGGTATTTCCAGGTGCCGTATTTGTACGCAACCCATTGAACAGGGAGCTGGTGGCTACGTTTGAGATCATCGTGTCTGTCCATGACAACGCCAGTGAGGTTATAGACAGGTCTGGCAGTGTTCCCAATGGTGAGTCCAGGTTATGCTTATTTTCAGGCTCTGTTCTGCAACCTGCACATTTTATTATAAGCTCCTCCAGTAACAGGTTGAAAGTAAATCTTATTCTTATGGAGTGAACTTTGTTCCATGGCGTTTGCAAGCAAAAAAAACATGTTTTGTAAATGGAAATAAAAAAAACGCATTTTCTCTATTGTAATTTGAAGAAAAGGCCCCCCCCAAAAAATGCTTTAGTAGCATTGTTGTTGTTTTCTCTTATTTTCTAAATGTATTATTTCATATTTTATGTTTTCGAAAAATT